GGCGAGCAGGGCAGCCAGCGGAGGGGCTCCGGAGCGGCCCTAGAAAAAACCGACTCCAGGGGCGTGGCCACGTGGTGCTCTCGCTCCTCCCGCCCAGCGTTCCTGCGCTTCTCCCGGGCCCGGAGGCGGAAGGGGGGAGGGGAAGGGAGGGAGCGGTAGGGAAGGGGGATGTGCAGGCGCTCGACGCCACGGCTTTGGCCCGCAGCCGGGAAGGACCGAGAAGGGCACAGGGCGCCCAGAATAGCCAGTCCAAAGACGAATAGCAGGGTCCCAGGGAGAAAAAAAGAATGGAAAATGGCAAAGTCAAGGACACAGAGACTTAGACGACGCTTGCCACCCCGCGCCCACTAGTTCCCTCGCGGTGCCATCTGAGCTGCCAGAAGGGCGCAAGGTAGCTGAGTCAAGCCTCTTGCGTTGTGCTTCCCGGGAGTTCCTTAAATGGTTTGGGAAGGATCCGGGGGTACATGAAACGCGTGAGTGCAGCGCTTTCCCCAAGCGTTTGAGTCCAGACTTGTCGGGACTCCCCTGCCCACGCTATCCTGCCAAGCTCTCAATGACAGAGGCCCCTGTGACCAGGCGAGCCCTTTACTTGCTGGCAGTCTGCTTTGGGGGACATAGCACGGAAGGAGGGAACAATTGTCTACACATGTCCCAGTCCAAGAAGGGAAACTGATTTTAAGACTGAAGTGGGGAAACAGGAGGAAAACGAGCCCTTAGTCTGGATGCTAGAGGCTGTTAAGACCAGAGAGTTTATTTTCTTAGGTGTGAGAATGATATTGACGTCCTACTGAGAAGATGCATGCTGAAGTGTAGAAGTGAAATGATGCAGCTAACACGCACACATTCTGAGAGAAGGGGAAGCAAATGTTGCAATATGTTACAGTTGTTACATCCAGATTGTGGCGATGGGGAGAGCGGACGTTCCCTGTACTGTTCTTTCAACTTTCCTGTATATTTCCTGTATATTTGCAAAATATAATAAAAATAGCCCTGAATGCTGTCTAAGAAAATAAGCGCAGCTGCTTTGTCTCTCCCTGTCCCGGGTGGGACAAATCTGCGAGCAAGCAGGGCTCAAACCGAGCGGGTGCTGGACGGGAATAGCAATGGGTAGCGCTAGCCTGCAGCGGCCACAGCCCTGGGCACGGACTCAGGCCAGGAAGGGCCCGGGGGCCTTGGGGCAGGTGGGCAGCCAGGCGCACAGCGCTGCGGAGGCGCTGCGGAGCGTGCTCTCCCTAGGCTGGGGCTGTCCTGGAGGCTCCCAGCCAGCCGTGGTCCGACTCCGACTCCGACTCCGCCGGCTCAAGATGCCGGCTGCCTGCTCCGCGGAACAGTAAGGATAGCGGCGAGCCACGGGATAGTGAGCCGCACTACTGACGCCGTCACCGCGGCCCGTATCCCCCTCTCTTTCCGAGGGAGGTCGAGGCTATCGCGGCCTGCGCCTTGGGCCCGGGGTAGTGGAGAAGCGGGCGCTGGGGGAAAATAAAATCAGGTGCCAAAAGAAAGTAGCAACACACATACACACTCACTCACTCACTCACTCACTCACACATACGAAAATCAGTGTACAAAAATAAAACCACGGATTCTGCTGTGCTCGGCGCTCAAGTTTCTTGAGCTACTTAACGCTCGCATGCATTTTACTGTAATGTTTCTGTACATCTGATGTAAAATGTTAATTTCTTTGCAAGGGCGATCTCGCAGACCTAAGGTGTTGCAAGTGTTGCGCGGTCTTCCGCTGGCGTATGAGGACTTTTTTTTAGAGGCTTATGGGGGAGTAGACAGTAGAGTCTTTTGCAGGATCTGCAAAGATTTTTTTTTTTTTTTAATTAACCAAAAAGTTTACAGACCAAGAATTTGATTTTCAGGAAAGGTTTTAAAACTGCAGGAAAGGTTTTAATACTTGTACAGTTTCAGGAGGTGCTACAAAACTTATTCCTGAACTACAATTTCCCTATTAACGTCTGCAAAACTCTTCATGGACAAGGCTGAAACTTTGCCGTGCTGTTGGACGTGACTAAACAAGTTTCTAAATCCTCAGATAGATCATTTATAAGCTCCAGTGTCCTTGGGGTGAAAGACTTTCCCGGGCTTTTAAGTCTCGGCTTCACGGGTAAATTTACTTGGGTTGATCTAACTTCATGTAAGCATTCACTTCCCTATCTAGATTAGCAGAAAGGCAGAAGATTCCAGCACTATAAGATAAAAGTTGAGTTTGTGGCACGTCCTGTAAAGAAAAATTGCAACAGCTTTCTTTATTAAATTCTTTTTGCTACATCAGCAAATTAGAGAGCCAGTTGAATATTGATGAATTCTTTGAGGGTGAGTAATATGGCTACAGGCCGCAGAAAGTGAGGGAGGGCTGGCTTAAGTATTTACTCAAGTGAACAATCTTCACATATTTTTCAACTGTGATGTCTCAAGGATTTTCTTAGGTTTTCTTAGGACCTCTGAAGCTAACCCTGATTCTGCAAATGGCTTCTCATTTTAGTAAGGCCCTTCCCAACTTGACAAAACTCTCACAGGACTTAAATTGCCCTAAGAAGTGCTTAGAAAGTCATTCTAGAACAGGCCACAGCTCAACAGCCGGGTGTCAGGGAGGCCCTCTGACCCGTAGTCAGGCAATTTCTCACTGTGCAGCAAGGAACCTGAAAGGAAATGGACACCATTCATTGTTTTCTGTCATGTCTAAAGTACTGTTTTAAAGCGGTTATTTTCAGGAAAATAGCACATTTTTTCTCCTTTTCTCTTGAAATATTCAGAAGTATTACCTCCATAAGAAATAATTATAGTCAGCCAAGGGAGGAGAGTTTAAGGATAGCTTTGAAGGATCCGAAGGCTCAGTTGAAAAAAAATAAATTAACTCTAGACCGGAGATATTCACAAGGAAGTTACACATAACAAGGTATTTGGAATAACTTTTGGAAAGTGTTTTATGAAAAGCAATTGTGAATGAATCTCTGAAAATAGATACTAGAGAAAGAAGTTGAAGATTCTTTTTTAAGTTGTAAATTTCCAAAGCTTATCATTTTATTTTAAATAGAAATGCTTTTTATGATTATGTTTTTCACGAAGGCCTTGAATTAGGGAAACAAGACTTTCCTTAGGTTGTAAATATCCAGAAGTCTTCAGGGAGATAAAATCAGGATACAGTTACAGATTTAACAGAAAGAAAACAACTGGAATCCTGTTGCGAAGCTTCTACTGTGTTATTTGTAAAGGCTTTTTTTCAGGGTTCAAGAAAAGGCTAGTAGTGAGCAGTAATAGAATAATCCTTGCCCTACTGTCGGATTGAACAAAAAAAGATAGTGCCCTTTGGTGGTTTTTATTTTACTTTATGAAATTAGTTATGATAAAAAAATAAATCTTTGCAAAACTTAGAACTTTGGGGAGAAAATTCAAATCTTAACTTCTCCCATCCCCATGATCTCACCAGGAAAAAGTAAAATGGATTAGTAAATTTTTCCTTTCTGCCAATGTGGAGCTTTGTAAGTCCTTGATGGCTGTTGCTTTTGATTTCGAGGTCTCTTTTCTCTCCTTAAAGACAAAGAATCACTGCCCTCAATGCTGCGGGATTTCTTCTTCAAACACAGTATGTTTTTCTTGTTGGGTGTGTACTATTATTGTCTTAATTATTTCTGGATTTTTGCCCATTCAGTCAACGACTGTGTCAGATGACAAAAATGATCAGACTTTTACGCAAAAGGAGGCCACAATGAAGGGGCATAATGGCCTCAGTCTCTACACTGTGTTGGCCCTACAGTGTCACCATCCCATAAGCAAGCACGGCTCACTATCCTTTGCACACAGAGTGTTAACTGACAGAGCAAAGTGTAGTGACAGGAGCATGGAGATGGAAAACCCATCTCCTGTGTACAAGAACAGGAGTTCAAGTGCAGTCCTAGGCTAGATTTTGTCACTTGCTTTTACCATACGCATTACGAGCATCGGTCTCTAACCTTAATACTTCTAGCACTTTCCTTGAGCGTTACTTAATTATGAAAAAGAGAGAAGAAAAAAAAACAGTATAAATCAATGTCAACATGTCAAATGTAATCATGTTCAAGATGCTGAAGTGCATTTGGATAGTTGGTTGCTCCATTTATATAAAAAAAAATTTTAAAGACCTAAAATGACCAGCACCAAGGAGGCCCTGTAAAAATTATAGAGCCCTGCCAAGTCTGAATGACATCACTTTTAGGATCCTGCTACATAAAGAGAGAAAATGTTCCTGGGGGCAAATAATGTCTTGCTCAGTAGGGAGAGGAGGAGGGAACAAGAAAATGAAGGGTGCTAAGGGTGCTATCTTTGTTTTAAACCAAGATGTGTTTTCCAAATCATGAAATACTCTGCTGAGATAAGGAAAGAAAGTCAATACATATAACTGAAGCATTTACATTAAAGATGTTAACACTGAACCATCTAGAACTCACAGCTCTCCTTCTGGTCCCCAAACATAACTT